CGGAGGCAGGAGACTCGCTTGAGCCCAGGAGTTGGAGGTTGCTGTGAGCTGTAATGCCACGGCACTCTACCCAGGGGGACAGGTTGAGGCTCTGTCTCAAAAAAAAAGAAGTAAATTTGAAAATCATCTAAATGCTAAACCACAGTAATAAGGAACCTGCTGCAGCCTCCCTTTTAAATTAGAGCCAGGTTCTGTGGCTCATGCCTGTAAATTCTTGCACTTTGGGAAGCTGAGGTAGGAGGATCACTTCAGCTCAGAAGTTGAAGACCAGCCTGAACAAGAGCGAGACCTCATCGCTACTAAAAATAGAAAAATTAGCTGGGCGTTGTGGTGGACACCTGTAGTCCCAGCTACTCTGCAGGCTGATACAGAAGGATCAACTTCAACCCAGGAGTTTGAGGATGCTGTGAGCTCTGATGCCATGGCACTCTAGCCTGGACAACAGAGTGAGACTCTTGTCTCTGTATTTTTTTTTGAGACAGTCTCACTTTATTGCCCTTGGTAGAATGCCGTGGCGTCACACAGCTCACAGCAACCTGTAGCTCCTGGGCTTCGGCAATTCTCTTGCCTCAGCCTCCCGAGAAACTGGGACTACAAGTGCTTGCCACAACACCCAGCTATTTTTGTTGTTGTTGTTGCAGTTTGGCTGGGGCTGGGTTTGAACCCGCCACCCTCAGTATATGGGGCCAGCGCCCTACTCACTGAGCCACAGGCGCTGCCCCACACTCTTGTCTTTAAATAAATAAATAGACATATTAGGTTGAGGGCTTTACAAGGTCATCAGGAGGAGACAGTTGCTCAGGGACAACACTGGTGATTTAGCTGGAGTTTGTGGCTAGGAACCTATGGTAATTCTGTTTCTTCACTCAAATGAAATGAAGGCATATTCATGTAGAATTCTGAAATAGAAAAAGGAAAAGCAATAATATTACACCAGTGAGTAAAGAATATTGTCTTATTCTCCCAAGTTTTGAGCAAAGAAATTTTGTCTGTATTGATAACCATATCTCAAAATACCATGCATTTTCCAACATGTATTCATAGGATACATTGCTGCACATCTTGCTGCTCTTACCATTTAATAAGGAAAAACTAAAACATGGGAAGATCTTTTAGTCCCCAGGCATTCCTTAAAGTTTCCTTATTTTTGACCATTTACCTTGTGGTTCCACTTCAGAAATGATAGAAAACATGGATAAAATACCAGGCATGAGGTCAGGCCCTTCTCATCTCCAGGGATTGGCTTCCCTTATTAGTGTAAATGGTTTGTTAAAAATACTTTACTCCCATTTTCTCCCCCCATCGTATCCCCAAAAGATCCTTTCCTTTAATCTTTTCAATAAGTGCTATGGTGGGCAGAATTTTTTAAATGACCTTTTTTTTTGAGACAGCTAAACCTCAAACTCTTGGGCTTAAGTGATTCTCTTGCCTCAGCCTCCCAAGTAGCTGGGACTACAGGAGCTCACCAAAACACCCGGCTGTTTTTTTTGTTGTTGCAGTTGTCATTGTTGTTTATCAGGCCCAGGCTGGGTTCAAACCCACCAGCCTTGGTGTGGCCGGCACCATAACCACTGTACTGTGGGCG